AATTTTTTAAAATTTTGAAAATTATTTGATACTTCATTTCATTAATTCAAATCAATATATAAAATATTTTTATAATTACTCGTCAATTTGAATTAATAAAACGAAGTATCAAATAATTTTTAAATATTAAAAAAATTTACAAATTTAATCTATGTATTAAAACTTTAAATCTAATAATTAAATCGTTAAAATTTGACGTAAAACATAAATTATTGAATGTAATAAGTTTAGATATACTTACTTCTATAATAAATAAATCCCTTTTATATATATATATAACGTAGTCATCGTTCTTATCATCAATGAAATTCTAGCTTCCTTTCTTCTTCTTTACTATACTTATTCTCTTCTTAATCTCACCACTCATACTATAAGATTGAGCGTGCATGTTTTTGTGATAATATCCAATCATTAAAATGATCCAAAAATGATGATATAATAAGTCTAACAACAATCATTAATTATTAAAATATATACTTTAACATATATTTAATATTATATTAAGAAAGTAACGTGTTAAGAAGGTGAAAATTGTTCCTGCTTTTATACACTACGTTGGATTTATGCACCATGTTAAATAATTTATTAATTTTAGTTTCTCTACTTAAAAAAAAAAAACTCAATATTTAAATTTAGAAAAATTGGTATTCTCATCAACTTTCTTCTACCAAAATTTTCAAATTCTCAGTTTTACTTATTTAAAATATTTATAAATTGAATTCGCGTGTTAAAATTCAAAATTCACTAATCAAAATATCAAATTTCATTCAAAATATTTATAAATAAATAAAAAAATTCGGTCCTACGGCAGGGATCCCCATTATAATCTTAAATCTTATCAAATTTTAGTCAAATTACTCACTTTTAAAATTTTAAAGTTTTCTTAACACCAATTTTTTTTAAGTTATTTCATATTCCAATTCAATCATAAATCGTTAGATATTTAGGTAAAAATAGTATTTTTACGGTTTTAAATAGAAAAAAAATGACAGTTGATCTGAATTTGCTTTGCTTTAAACATATAAATTTTGATTATCTAAAATAATATTTTTTTTGATAGATAAAAACTTAAGTAGCTAATAAACACACACTCAATTTAGATCGAAAGAGATTAAAAATGCAATTAATATTTCTTTTTATGATAGCGATGACAATGGGCAACTAATAATATGCTTATGTATTTACGATTGCAATTCTTGACCTATTATTACTGAATTCAACGTGTATATTTTCAGTTGTTGATAAACATAAATTAATATTTCGCACATTTGGATAACATTCAAAATTAATTAATTTCGTGTGCCAGAAGCTAGAGGCTAAATTGTAATCCCCATAATAAACAAGTACTTTTACCAATTTTTAAATATGCAATTTTAGTTTTTTTTTTATAAAATTTTTAATTTAAATTTATTTATTAAATATTTATCTTTGAACTTTTTCATATAAATTTATCTTTTAATTAACCGTTAAAATTGTAATATTTAAAACAATATGATCGTATATTACATAAACTAAAATACAATTTAGCCATGCTATAATTATTATATATGTAGCTTGTGAATTATAGACATCGTAACAAACACGTTATACGACTATACGAGTGGTGCCTTGACTTTGTATTATTAATCGTAAATACATCATACTATTAACAACTATGATTATTTTAAGCCATTGCATATGCAATATACATAATACACATCTTTCATCTATTTTTACTATCTTTCATAATCACTAATTTTTCTCAAAAATTATAATCATACATAAAATAAATATTTTTTTTATAACAATTTATTTTAAGATCAAGATTTCCTGGACAATTTGATTAAAAGATACTTGTTTTATTTTATAATGAAATTTTGTTTTTTTTATAATGGTCACATTGAAGTAAGAATTCATTACTTCATATTTATTATTTAAAATCTTTCAAGTTAGACTAATCTAGATAGATTCATTTGATTTTATTTATATTTTGAACTATAAGTGATAAATATTAAACTATCAAATTTTAATCTATAGCAGATTTTACTTGCACATATGTATGATTATTTATTTATTTATTATTATTACCTAAAATCTTACTATTATTATTTGAATAGATTTTTTTATTTTATCGTTAATATGAATTTAGTGATTAATTGAGACTAAATTTGAAGCTCAATACTTAATCATAAAAGTATAGAGTTCAAGTAAAAGTATACACATATCACAGTACTAATTTGAAAAAAAGTGTTATATCACATAAGGATTATTTTGAAAAAATGTCAAGTTAGAAAGTCCAAATTGAAAGATTTGGATAATTGGTCAAGAAGATGTAATATCAAATTATGAGGTGAATCAATATAAAATACACATCATGAACTTCTTATTCTCCTGTCTTTAATTATTTATGCGAATAGCATAAATAGGAGTTGTTTTATGATTAAAAAAAATTATAATCAAAACAAGTATTTCTAAAAGTTTTCATTGTATCACCAGATTTGAACATGATTATACATTGTTATGTCTTTCAAAAACCATCTTCACTATTTCACCGATTCCAAAAACTTTCCAAAAGGTTTTGATCTATTTCATGGAGTTTTTTTAAAGATTCTGAAAGCATAATTTAACTTCTTTCTCGTGTCTTTGTATTTATTTTTACAAATTTTATTTTGGTGTTTCATAAGTTATTTCTCTAAATAAAATTGAGACTAGTCTTTAACTTAGTCATAGTAATTGAGTGAAGTCCTTGAAAAAGCAACACAACCTGATTTAAAAAGACAATAGAAAACACGACAAGAAGTAAATTGAGTTTTACCGTCTTTAAAACAATTTAACAAATCACGTTATTTCATTTAGAAACCCTAAAAACCACCGTATAAAATAAATGTTAGTCTTAGGACAAACAAATATTATCTTACAATGAAATGATACAGTGAAAACAATTTGAAGAAAACCTTTGGTTATTGGATAAGAAAATTATTCACAATTGAATACATTAAAAAATGGAGGGAAAAAAAAAATGAAAGATCATCCCAATAGATAGATTAATCCACTCTATAACTATTACCAAAGAAAAAATTCCACTCTATGACTAGGGTTATGTTTATTCCTTGATGCAAACCCAAGATTTTTGCTAAAATAATTAACAGATACAATGTGTGTCTTTAAGCATTGTTTCACAAATCTCTCTAAACTCAAATTCAAATATTTTCTTTTAGAATAAATATCTTCAAACTCTAAAAAACTTTATCTTTTTTAAAAAAATAGCATCGTCTTATTATAATGAGTAAATAAGAAATAATTATTTTGAGTTTTAAAAAATACACAATAAATACACTAATAGAGAATGTGAGCTAGGTATAAAATAAAACTCCACAAATTTGAATCAATAATGTTTTGCAATAGGTCAACTGAAGGATAAAATTCAATCAAATGAACAAAGCTTTATATATTCTCCCAAAGTCTAAGATGTTATACAAGAAATGAAAAATAATAAATGTGGAGGAATCTAACAACTAATCATCAGAAACAATTTGGCTATGATATGAACTATGAAGAAAAAAATATATTATAAATATGAACTAGATGTAAAATATATATCTAAGTTTTGGAAGTTAAACTCAACAGTCAACACACTCAACCCACATATCAAGAAAGGGGCAACTAGTACAAATTGGGCTCAAGGCCTTATGTGTATAGTGCTTCATCTTAGCTCAAGATCATAAATTCCTCAAGACCGATGAGGTAGCTGCCTAAGGCCCACAATCATCTTAGGCTCCTAAAATTTCTTTTATATTCTTAAAAAATATTTTTATCTCGAATTATTGACTGATAATTTTTTATTATATCATTTCCAGTTAATTTATTAGGAAGATTATGTAATTAAAATTTGTATTTAGATGTCATGTTAGATTATTTAGAAAGTTTTATTACTTGTTTAAAAAGTTATATGGAAAATTATTTTACATTTATTTTAATCTCCTGACAAAATAATTGGCATTGAAATGAATATAGTACTTCAATTTCACAAAAAAAATAGTGTGATCCATATAAAACATTTTGATAAAAATAATAATGAAATCATAGTAGAAGATTATTTCTCAGGTTCTTATAAAAAACAAATAATTTTAATTATATTGTATTCATATTAAACCAATCTACTTTCTTATTTATTGAGAATTTATTTGAATAAATTTTAGAATAAAAACACATTTTCACTTTTTTCTTAAAATCCCAATAATGAGTGTGTGTGTGTTTTTTTTTTTTATTTATAAAAAGATGTATTGAAAAATATTATATTAATCTTAAGAATGAAGACATTTTAATTGAAGTAACTAAAATTTCTATAATTTAAAATTCTCTGAAATTTTAAAATCCTCTATCCAAACACAACCTTTAAGTTTTATTAATACCAATTTGATTCCCCCTTCCCCCAAATTGAGTAGGAAAAAAACGATAACATGTGAAATTAATGTTTTTATTATAAGTATGAAATTATAATAAAATATTTGATTGCTAAAAGAAACTTTTTCAAAATTTTAAATTTTTATTTGAGATCAAATATATTACAAGGTAGTAATTAAATGTATAGCCTACAGTGAGTTATAGAATTTACTTATAAAACTTTATTCAAATATAAAATCCGGTAAACCAAAATTTCTAAAGACGCATGCTAATCTAACTAAAGAGTGTATTGTGCATTACTATCAATTGAAGACAACCACACTATGCAGTAAGTAATGTGACTTTGACTTGTGAAACTATTTTGTATATTTTATTCATTTGTCCATTTTTTGCGGTTGTCCAAAAGGATAAGAAACACACACTAAAATTCCTAAATTAAAAAGGTCCTATGAAATTGTCAACCAAAGGAAAAGTTTCTTAAAAAAGAAGAAATAAATTGTCATAGTTTCAACGGCTAACCATTTGTTAGGGAAAGGGTAAAATAACTTTTCACTTTTGACCATAATTTATGAGCCACTTTTCCTATTTTCTCTCTGTTATTCTTTCTTTAGATTTTCAATTTGGGGGATGATTTCTATGGATTGAAGTGAGAAATCACATCAATATTTTCATTTCCCATCATTGATCTTCTGCTACTTTGTTGTTCAATTAGAACATCAATTACTTACATTTATTTTTTTTCCCAAATGGCAGAAGACCACATTTTTGTTTAAATGTTTCAATGGGGTTTTGTAACAAACATGTCAACCCCGTTTGATTATTACTATGATAAATACAATGACTTGTTTGGATCATCTGGTAATGGCTAAAAAGTCCCCCATATGAGTTTCGCATTAAGGGGTTGTGACAAATGCATGCATGCAACCAGGATCTTGAAAGTATTATAGTTTGAGATTGTTACCTACTTTGAAGGAAACAAAAAATGGGTTTGAATTTAAGGGACATTCAACTTCGTTTTTCAAGAATGATTCATGTTTCAGTTGAGATTAGCTACACTTTTATTCGAAGGCATCCACGAGTTTCGGGTGCTTTGTTGGTCTTCTTCATTTTGTATATATTTCTTTCTTATATTTACAATTTGTTGGCCTTCTTGTCCCCATTTTTTGTGTGCATTGCCATTTTTGTTAGAATCTTTTGGAGTTCTGAACAAAGCCACCTTAAAAGTGTCAACAAGGAGGAGAAAAAAGAAGAGAAGAAAAAAGTTGAATCAAAACTTCTATCAAACGTGGTAAAGAATGAAAGACGTGGACTACTTTACAAGTGCCCATCACACAATGCAACAAGTAGAAGAAGAAATTTCACTGGGAAGAAATTGGATGTGTATGGTGGTATAGAAATAAAAGCCAAAGATTTATCTTCAGTGTTTCGTAATGAATTCACTAGACTTAATAACGACATTAGAAGGAATAGATTTTATAAGGAAGAGGTTGGTTCTTTGGAGGATCCTACAAAGCAAGCATTATTTTCTGAACCTTCAATGTTGAACTTTGTGACTTGTGGTGTTGGTTTAGAGAAAAAGGCAAAAAACAAAGAGGATGAGAAAAAAGCACAAGAGGATGGCAATAAAGGTGTAGAATTGACAGATGATGATCAGAAAAATGAGATGGATCTTGGGACATGTGAGTTGGAGAGACATAAAAGGCTAGAGAGTCTTATAGCCAGAAGAAGAGCAAGAAAGCAATTAAAGTTGCAGATTGAGAATGGTCTAATTGATATGAAATCAGTTATCCCAAGCCAAATTGCTCCACTATTTATTACAAGACTCAATCCATTTGATTCTCCAAGAGGGTTTGATGGCATAGAAATGCCTGGTTCTGCACCATCTGCTTTGAGAAGCCCATTTGATATTCCCTACGATCCTTTTGAGGAGAAACCCAATCTCACTGGGGACAGTTTTGATCAAGAATTGAAGAATTTGTTAATAGAACCTAGACGAGAAGATCTTCAAGCCAGAGAATCTAGGTTGGCACACTCAAGAGTTAGAAGGCTTGAAGGTGATATTGATAACCACTTTCTTTTCTCCTCATTTTTTTTCTTCTTTCTCCCCTTTTCCTGAGTTAATGAGAAAAAAAAATATATAGGAAATTGAGGTAAACTTTGATGATGAAATTTAATGTATCTCGCATATGTAGGTAAAGGAAATGATGACAAGCTTGAACAACCAATATCCAAAGAAGACAGTGAAAATGAATCAAAACCTTCTATTCCATCAAGTGAAGAAGAGGAAACAACACATGAAGAGGATAAGAAATGTGAAATTGATAACATAGCTGACATCACAGGTGAGGAAGTGGACAATGTTCAAGCAACAAAATCCAATTCAGACCACACAAGTGAGTCAAACTTAATTCCAATGATCAATGTTGAAAGATCTGAAGTTTCAGAGAAACTAGAATTACCAAGAGTTCCTAAGCCTCAAGTAGGGGGTCTCAATTTACCAATATCAAGTACTTGTGCTACTAAAATAAATGATTCTCTGTATGAATCTTTTTCACCTCCTATTATTAAGAACCAAGAAAATATGTTAATTGGTGACCCAACCTCTCACAAACCTTCATGCTCTTTAGCTTCTGACTTACAAGTGGAGGTTTCTGAGGTTGGTTCACCAACACTAACAGTTGATGAGAACCATGAGGTTGCTACAACCACAGATGGAGAATCCATAATATATGATGGAGACATTGATAAAGATGTTACTTCTGGTAGTGAAGACATGTGGGGAGCCTCACTCCATTTAAGAGAAGTACGTAGAGTAAGTGAGCAAGATATTTCAGAAATAAACAACTGGAGGGACATTTCTTCACCCCTTTCTTTACAAAACATAGATGAAGAAAATGTAGCTGATGACTCTATGTCCTCAAGATCAGACATTCCCGATGATACTCCAACCTATGTAATGAATAGTGACCATAACAACATATTTGGTAATACAAAAGATTTTTTAACAGAAAATGGTGCACCCCGACCTTCTCATTCTCCAGTTGTATCATCACGTTGGAAGCGATTGATGGATAATCGTGTTAATCGTTCACTTCATGAAAAGAATTCAAAAAAACCCATAGTGAGTCAATTTGGTGTTATTGTATAATATGTTTAAAGTGATAATCATTTCCATTGATTGTTTCAAACCAAATACTGAGCCTATATTATTTATTTGTCTTCCTTACTTATGGTAATAAATTGTGATAAGAATTCTTTTCTTGTCATTTAAATAAAAAAATTGTTGTTCAACAGGAATTGTTAAACATCTCAGAGAATTCAAGTAAGTCACAAGTTATTAATGATGGGAACAACTCAACAGTCTCTGAGCAAGTTAACACACATAACTCAAGAGGTGATGGAGAACTTGGTATATCAGATTCAATTATGCAACAAGAAGCAACTGATGAAGTCTCAAACAACTCAAGTTCATCATCTTCACCAAGGTCTGTATTGTCAATAGCACCAAAGACCACAACTGACCAAGTTTCCATGCCAACTTTCAATAAAGAGACGCACCTAGATGTTCAACAGTCCAACATGCAGGAAATAAAACAAGAAATATTAAATGAAGGTCCCCTTGACCCCATCCCTCAAAATATTCAACCTTCCATAGATGACCCAAATGTTGAATCACGTAGTAATGACATGATTCATCCTCAGGTGTGAGTTGTAGAAATTCACCATTTCCTTTTCATCTATTTTAGTAAATTATTACTATGTTCTTGACATATCACAACTTTATACATAAGTGGGGGAACATGGTAGTGTTTTGCCTAAAAGCTTTGGTATAATATCACTACATAAACCAAGGTTTTATATGATTGTTTTACTTCAAATCTTTTTAATATTTATATATTTGGCATACAAAAAAAAAATCCCATCATCATTTGGTCATGCTTGTAACTTGGTTTTCCTTAAAGTAAAAAAGCTTCAAGTTTTAACTAGCGTGTTATTTGTGACATTGACTAGGAACAAACTTGTCCACCGGAGAACTTCATTCAAGAATCAAATATATCTACCAAGATGAATGATGTAGGAGTTTGTAACAAGGAAGATGAAAATAAGTTAAAGAATGATGAGACTAATGGAGACAAATTTACTCCAAAAGTTAGTCAAGATGCTTCAATTGAACCTTTTAGACCATCAGAGAGGATGACTTCAAAGGATATAAGTGAGAAATCAAGAGAAGAATTTGATGAAAAAGTACAATTTGAATCTTTAAATTTGACATGTTCCATTATATTAGCCAATACACTTATAATGTACCTCTTTTCTTGTGAAATGAATAGGTGCCATTGATTTCTCTAATACTAGAATCATCCTCGGAAATTCAAGAAGAGAATGAAGAAAACTCACCAGAAGAGGCAACCATGAAACCATGTATTAATACTGAAGTAACAGACACAAGTTCTGATGAAGATTTTGAAGGAAAACGCAATAACTTGAATGAAAATGAAGCCATGCTCTCATCATGTTTATCGGCGGGAGACACTAACAAGTTGAAAGAAATAGACAAGCCAAAACATAGTTCGGAAGAGGGGAATTATTTGCAAAATGAGTCAAAGCAAGTAGGTGAAAATCATATGGACAAGGAAAAAGTGGAGGAAGATGATATCTCTAAAGACTCTCCACTACCAATTACCACTGCAGCAACCAACTTTAAAGACCAAGAAGGAAAATGTGAGAAGATGAACAAGAATGAAGCCACTAACCAAGAATTAAACAAGAACGAAATCATTGCTAAATCTGAACCTGTTGAAGAAACTGATCTGGAAACAAACATAAACAAGTTGAGAGAAACAGACAAGGCAAAGCATAGTTCAGAAGAAGTTAATTATTTGCAAAGTGAGTCAAAACATGTGGTTGAAGATCATATGGAGAAGGAAAAGTTGGTTACAGATAATATCTCTGAAGACTCTCCACTACCAATTACCACTGAAGTAACCAATTTTGAAGACAAAGAAGGAGAATGTGAGAAAATGAACAACAATGAAGCCATTGACCACAAATTAAACAACAATGAAGTCATTGTTATATCTGAACCCACAAAAGAAATTAATGAGATAACAAATATAGCACACATGAAAGACCTTGAAGAAAAGACTTCAACTTGAATACATTGATACACCAAAGCCATGTAAACCAAACGATCCTCAAGAAATAGGATTTTCCCAACAATTGAGTCAGCACAACTAGCAAGTTGTGGTGATGACCATAAGGACTTGCCGAAACCAAGGCAATCACTAAATCAATTATTACTAGCAAAGAAGCCAATGAAGATCTAGTAGAGGATTCTGAAGTGGTGCACCTTGGCTAGAGAAAGTGAAGTTCCATTAGTTATTGTTCAGGAGTTTGAACTTGTCAAAACCATAAGATTAACATAGTGTTTCAGATAAATTAATCAATTTTCAGTGCATGGATTCAGTCCATGGTTCTGTAGATGTTTGTAACATATTCTATTAGTCACACTGCACATACGCTATCATGTTCACGTTCACAATGTACAAAGTAAGACACATAGAAGGTCCCTTGTATCTATTATATACCCATATTATATCTCAAACTCAAATTATCATCATCATTTTGCCCGTCTCCTAACGATTAATTCCTTCTTTATTTTTTTTTTCTTTGATGAAATGATGAAAATAGTATTCTTTTGTTTTTTCAATTCTTTATATTTTAGGTTCAAAATAGACAAGGGATCTGAGAATCAATGGCTGCAAGAATTAAATTTTATGTGCCTTGCATTTAATAAGAATTATTGGTTGAAATATTAAACGTACATACATTTAGTGAAGTTAAATATAATATTATTTCATATATTAAATATTATTTACGGTTGAATTAATTTCAAAGTTTTTAATAAAGAAATAGAAAATATGATGTATTCCCCATAATGTTGATGGACTCCTAACATTGAAACAATTTTTTAATGTAAATTGTTGATGATTCATTTTTTAAAATCTATTTTTTACTGAGTGATTGATTCAAGTGATTTACGTTGTTGATATTATTATTATTAAAAGTTATAAGGTAAACAAAATAAGATATAATTTTATTAAAGGAATATGAAAAAAAAAAGATATTCTCTTTAATAATAGTCTTACTCTCCATTTTTATAGACTATTTTATTTATTTATTTATTTTGCTACTACTTAGAAAATTTAAATCATTCTTTCTAGCTCAATGTCTTTTTTGGTCATAAAATGTATATCGTTTTAAATAATTATCTACTTCATAATTTATCTTTTACTTTATTTATTTTAATAATTTAAAAGTTAGAGAAGAGTATATCTTTCTAATTTATATTATTATATAAAGTAGATATATTTTTTTGGTAATTATCTTAATCTTCATTTTTTTTATATAGACCATTTTACTTAAAAATTTAAATCATTATCTTTCTCTCTCAATGTCCTTTTTGTCACAAATTTACCCTTTTTACATAATTACCCACTTCATAATTTGGAGAAGTGACTCTTTTATTTAGCAATAATAATCTAATAGATATAAATAGTTTAAACATTAATTTAAGAATATAAGGGGATTGAGTTGAGTCAAGTTTGGATGAATTTATTACTTGATTCGATTAAAATTCAACAGGCTAGGTTGGGTTGAGTTTGTACATTTTTTTAAAAAATTCAACCCAATCCAATTACAAATAGGTTGAATTGAGTTGAATCAATCAAGTAACATAATTAAATTTATTTATTTATTATAAAATCTAAATATTTCATAATAAATGTACATCATTTGATATCTTGTTTCAAATATAATGTCATTAATCGATAAAATAAATGATACAAAATAAATTTATTGATTTGACACATGATTATCAGCTCAATCAGCATTAATACAAAATAAAATTTAAAATAAATATGTTGTATTGTTATAATGTTATCAGTCCAAAAACATAATACTTGTCATCGAACAAGAGTGATAGAAAACATTGTTTGAACAAATGATCACATTAACTTATCATTATTATCATTATTATTATTATTATTAGGTTGGGTTGGGTCACAGGTCAAAAACAAAAAACCATTATCCAACTTGATTAGTGACAAGTTTTGATTGAGTTGGATTAGGTATGATTTAAATGGTTAAAAATATCTGATCCAAATTTATTGTGTTGATTTAAATCAATTCAAGTTTATAAGTTATTCATACTCATTTATTCCCTTACATAAGCACTATGAAAAACGAGAATAGAGGTAATTATTAAAACTTATCTTGATCATTGTACAATTATAACATTGAGATTTTGAGATTATAAGTTAAATTACTCAAATCTTCTAACCTTAACCTAAACTTAGTGGAATTTTAGATAATTATTCTTTTTTTTAATTATTTGTTGGAATTTTAATAATAATTTTTATTTATTTATTTATTATTTTCAAGTTTCAAGACAATATTAAATATTATATTATTAATTATATCCTTATTTATTACTTAATTTTAATTAATTTATACATAATAATTAATATATATTTATTATAAAATAAAAAATATATAATAAAAAACATGAAAATTATTTTTTAAAAAATAAAAAAATTATTACATTTCTTTGTGATGAATAGGATCCGGGATAACATCATTGATATTAAAAAAGTGAAAAGGAATAAATTCTCATATTAAAATATTGATGCAATACAGTATTCGGGTTGACTTGAGTCATCAAAGTTGGTTTCTGTGAAGTTTGTACTTGGGCGTTAACTCTGCATGACAGAAGAGAGAAGCAGTTTGGGAGTAACATAGATCACAGTATATGGATTGCGTTTACATGAATCTCAATGAACCCATTGAAGCTCGTGTGAAACACCTTCTTTCTCTCATGACTTTGAAGGAGAAGATTGGTCAGATGACACAAATTGAGCGTTCAGTTGCTACCCCTTCTGCCATCAAACACTTCTCCATTGGTATATATCTTCAACCAAAACCACACATGTTGTCATCTACATACATAGGTCACATAGTGAAAGAGAGAGTGTGTTTTTTGATTACTTGGTAGTTTCATTTTGGTAAGTTGTGTTTTCTTTTTGTTTGAACAAAGGGAGTGTATTCAGTGCTCCTCACAGTCACAATGGATCTTTTGAGAAGGCATTGTCATCCGATTGTGCTGATATGGTGGATGGGTTTCAAAAGTTGGCACTTGGATCAAGGTTAGGCATACCAATCATTTATGGGGTTGATGCTGTTCATGGTAATAACAGTGTCTATGGTGCTACTATATTTCCTCACAATGTTGCCCTTGGAGCTACCAGGTTGGTGTTGTGCATTTTGTTTTACTTTTTTGTCTTTTGGGGGGGTGATTAGTTGGTTCACTTTGTTGTGATTTGGCCTTGCATCTTTAAAATTTAGCTATCGACCCCTGCCCTGATTTTCTGATTGACTTTGATTTGCAGGTAGGAGAAAGAGTAAAAGTTTCAAATTGATCTTCTATTTTTTCCTCAAATATGTTCTTAGAATATTGGATTTGAACCTAACTCAACTCTACAAAATCGGCTTGTAAGGTGAGGGTTGTTTTCCACTTATATACTATTCAATTGCCTAAGGTCTAGTCGATGTGAGACTTGGGTTTTTCCCAATACACCCCCTCACGTCCAGCACTATTGGGCTTGGTACGTGGATAAATGGTGGTGGTCCACCCCCTCATGCCTATGGCGCATGCATCAATGGTGGGTGACTCATTTTTAAGAATCTAGGATAGATCTGATACTATCTTAGAATAGTGAATTTAAGCCTAACTCAACCCTACAAAACCAGCTTGTAAGGTGAGGGTTGCTTTCCACTTATATACTATTCAATTGCCTAATCTCTAGTCGATGTGGGACTTGGGTTTTTCCCAATACACCCCCTCACGTCCAGCACTATTGGGCTTGGTACGTGGATAAATGGTGGGTGACGCTTTTTAATGATCTAGGATTGGGGGGACTTGAGTTTTTTTTTTCTCAATACACCCCCTCACGTCCAGCACTATTGGGCTTGGTACGTGGATAAATGGTGGGTGACGCTTTTTAATGATCTAGGATTGGGGGGACTTGAGTTTTTTTTTTCTCAATACACCCCCTCACGTCCAGCACTATTGGGCTTGGTACGTGGATAAATGGTGGGTGACGCTTTTTAATGATCTAGGATTGGGGGGACTTGAGTTTTTTTTTTCTCAATACACCCCCTCATGCCTATGATGCATGTATCAATGGTGGCTGACCCATTTTTAAGAATCTAGGATAGCTCTGATACCATCTTAGAATAGTAGATTTGAGCCTAACTCAACCCTACAAAACCGGTTTATAAGGTGAGAGTTGCTTTCTATTTATATACTATTTAATTTCCTAATCTCTAGTCGATGTGAAACTTGGGTTTAGGGCTTGATACGTGGATAAATGGTGGGTGACCCTTTTTAATGATCTAGGATTGGCGGGGCTTGAGTTTTTTTTTTCTCAATACACCCCCCCATGCCTATGGTGTATGTATCAATGGTGGGTGACCCATTTTTAAGAATCTAGGATAACTCTAATACCATCTTAGAATAGTGAATTTGAGCCTAACTTAACCCTACAAAACTGGTTTGTAAGGTGAGAGTTGCTTTCCACTTATATACTATTCAATTGCCTAATCTCTAGTCGATGTGGGACTTGGGTTTTTCTCAATATATTTATAACAGTTTTAGATTTTTTAAGGAATAATTTGGTGACAAACATTTTAAGGACCAATGTAGTGTGACATGCTAGTTTTTTGAAAACCAATTTAAGGCTTTACGTAGAAAAGATTCTTGCTTGGAACCAAAATTTTCAAATTATAACCATTCCACATGAACAAGTAGTTATTGAGACATTTCAATGTTGACCATAATTGAAAGTTGAGGGGTTGTGTGCATTTTTTCTGCTTATATGAAACAATCCAAATCTAGACGTTTTGGTCATAGCAAAAGATGTTCCAAATAATTTAAAGTTCTTATGTTCTCCTTTATAGGGATGCAGATTTAGTTCAAAGAATTGGAGCTGCAACATCACTTGAACTTAGAGCAAGTGGAATTCACTTTACTTTTGCCCCTTGTATGGCAGTAAGGCATCATAGATAGTCCAAATTCTAAATTAGTTATATTGATAAACTATAGCTGTGTCTGTGTTGTGCTACGTGGCATTTCCCTTACAGTTGATACTTCTTTCTAATATGTTGTGCATAATGATAAAGCTCACCTGAAAGGAAACAACACAATTTAATTTGCTAAAGAAATAAAGAAACTCCGAACAACAGATTTCTGTGGTATATTTCTCATTTTATTGCTACTATGGAAGTTGTGCATGCTATGTCGTTTGGTAAAATGGAATATTACTACCTTCTAGAAAGGTGTAAACGAGAGGAATTTGGCACTTGTCGTAAATAATCATTTGAATTTCAGTCTGGATCATACGGAACCCATTTGAAAAGATGTTTAAATACTTCCTGGCTTATGAGCTGATTTGTCATAAGGACCATTTATGCAAGTAATATAATGTGATTGTACAACGGCGCTTCCTGGATATTGGAAAGAAAACATCAAATTTTATTTTTGGCTAAAATTCATTTCATTCAATT